TCTTTTTCTAGAGAAAATAACAACCTATGATTTAATTCACAATTAACAAATTTCTCTAGTTGGTAAGGCAGCACAACTATTTACGAGAAGGAGGATCCCAATGGACCGCATAAGCACTTTCACCAAAACTGTCTTTTTCTAGAGAAAATAACAACCTAGGAGTTAACTCACAATTAACAAATTTCTTTAGTTGGCAAGGTACCACAAGTATTTACGAGAAGGAGGATCCCAATGCACCGCATAAGCACTTTCACTAAAACTGTCTTTTTCCAGAGAAAATAACAACCTAGGAGTTAATTCACAGTTAACAAATTTCTCTAATTGACAAGGTAGCACAAGTACTTACGAGAAGGAGGATCCCAATGCACTGCATAAGCACTTTCACCAAAACTGTCTTTTTCTAGAGAAAATAACAACCTAGAAGTTAATTCACAATTAACAAATATATCTAGTTGGCATGGTAGCACGAGTACTTACGAGAAGGAGGATCCCAATGCACCGCATAAGCACTTTCACCAAAACTATTTTCTTCTGCAGTAAATAAGAATTAGGCATTGACTCAAAATTTAAAAATTTGTCAACTTGGCAAGGTAGCACAAAGTATTTACTAGAATGTACATGATCTGCCGCTTAAGCACTCGCACCAAAAGCATTTTCTTCTGTATGTAATAACAAATTATATGAGGTGATTCATACTTGATGCACCCTCAACTTGGTAAAGCTAGCACTAGTACTTACGAGAAGATGGAGGTTCACCCCTGTCGCTTGACTCGGCAAAGGCCAAGACGAGCAAGAAAAACACTACTGCTATAAGCTTGATCATCATGTCTAGATCACGATGAATTGAATTTTGTTGGACGAGGAGGACGGAATGGTCTAGTTGCCTATATATACAACATGACCATTCTTTGGTAGTGGTAGGTAACAAACACCTAATTGTCCTACCATTTACAGCATTCCATATATAGTTGCAAACCTTATATGGAAAGAATTTCAATATTACCTATCTTAGTTCATAAGGAAACGTTGTACTCCTCCTATTGCCATAATATCTGCCCGAAGATAATTCGTGAGGAAATGTTTTACTCCTATTCCTTAGTACTGATTAACTGCCGTAATTTCTACCATTAAAAACCTGCCATAATTTCTCTCCCCAAAATCATTGGCTTTAATTAACTGCCATAAAAAGAGGGTTTTTACCTCACACACTAGCCTTGAGTGAAACGTCTTGTCCTATATCTGCCTTGCTTATTTTTTCCGTAATTTACACTATGCATTTCCATACATTGAGTCTTCAAAATATTTATTAAAAGGAGACTTCCAAATGTTGAATTTTAAATGGATTGAATATACATGAACCCTTCTTATAGCCTTTCTCCCCCAAACTCTGCTACTTTTCATGTCATGAGTCATGAGTGAAGAGTGTGAGGCCCTGGCTAGTCTCAGGGATCAACATGTAGGGTTTGAGAGGGGATCGGGAAGAACAGGATGAGAAAAAGGGGAACCAGAGGAGGAGAATCAGAACACGGGAGAGATGAGGTTCAATTACTATTCATTCAACAACCTGCCCTCTCTACAATCTGTAGCTACAATATAACCACACCACCAGTACACGCTACCAGCCGGACCCACGTTCACACACACCACATGTCTTACACCCTTTGACTCTGCACAGTTCGGCCTGTGGCCACTTGTATG